AGGGTACCTTCCTATATACTCTGGAGCCACCACAAATCTCATTCGTTTCAGAGGATAGGCACAGATCAGTACTGGTACCAATCAAAAACCAATTTTCAATTCTGAAAGATAACTAAATGATCAGCCACACAAAGTTTCACCCCTGAGAAAATCTGGAAACAACATGTGCAACTCTTGAAACACTTACCTAAATTAACTGTTGCCTTGAACAGTGTTGCAAAGAGAAACAAAAGACAGTAAATTGTATCCTCAACTGAAGGTTGCACAGATTCTGGGAGTAATTTAATGCAAAATGTACAAAGCAAAAGTTAACTTTGTTTCCTTTCACAGCATTAAATATCGCAATTTTATCATGCACCAAAAAGAAGCCAACCCTACCAAAGTCTGAGATATTTATTACTTATGGCACAGCCATTTAAAGATTTCACTCCATTTTTCTATTAGAAATGCTCTGATGGCACAGGAGTCTGGACACGTAAATTATGACAAACAGCTTCTCATCCATTCCTACAAAATCCACGACTCTTTCCTCTTCCCATCCATCACCAGCAATTAGCCCTTGTTTTCGAAAAGTCTCACCACTTCCTTTCCTCACCAATAATTGCTGGCTCACTACCAAGACAGACTCTATCCTTATCAGCCCAGAATACCCATTCCCACTGCTCACTTATTCATTTTATGGCAATTGCATGCCTCCTCCTTCCATACCCAGCAGCCTCCCAGGCCTGCAAGAAATTCCATGCAAACATTCATGATTCTACTTCAGCGCTCTCTCTCATCTCTGACATGGAAGTAATGCTGGCATCCAGAGCAACATCACACTCACCACCCCCAGGGGACTTTAGGCCTTAAAATAAATTTTCCAAAACAACAACAAAACCAACAAACAAACAAAACCAGTACAATACCAAACAAAAATAAAAACACAGAAAAGTGACAGAAAAATTTATACTGGAACCTTTGGAACCTTTAAGAGGTATCAAAATGCATTTTAATTCATGGAGTTGCAACATTGTTCTTAAATAGAAGGACTGTAGCTTTAGTTTACAAATATAATGAAATTAAATCAGTTTTCAATTTTTAGTAGCAGTAGACATATCTAGACTAGGCAGGAGCTTTTTCTCTTCTTTCTTCTTAGTACAGAGTCAAACCCAATTTCTTCTCACTAATCTACAATAATTCATGGATTTAAATATAGAATCCACACTTGTAGTAGTCTCATAACCTTTCAGGGGAAGTACTGTCCCTGTCCTCAAAGGCCAGAACTAATTTTGTGTTAAAATATTCTAAGTCCCCCTAGCTTATCTATTTCCCCCTACCAAACCAAACATATCTATGCATTTCAATCAAGGAAAGGTCAAGATATCAAGCACACTGTGGCCCTACCTCAGGCTTCACAAATAGTTTGTGATAAATTTCATGTTATGACAATGCAAGTAAAAAAAAAAATATATATATAATAAAAATAGAATCCATTAGTGACTTGGAAAGCTTCTTGCTACATAAAATAAATCCAATCAAGAAACAGAAAACGATTCCAGACATCATATGCCTCTGTCTTGACATTACTGAGAGCATTTTAAGGAAAAAGTGGTTGCATGTTGGAAGCTTTCTTTTCATTTTAAGCCTTCATGCAATTATTTCTCAATCATAACTGCAATACAAGGTGTGGGAGATTGTGGTTTTTGTAAACCCACACCCAGATTTCAAGTGGAAGCTCTCTCTTTCCAGCCTTGGTTGACTTCCTTGTACCTCTCATAAAAATTTGCTCTGACAAGAAAAGAAACATACTGTACTCCAATGATCATATTGCTTCAGTAAGGATAGTGTACCTCAAGTTGCATAATAAGGTGACAAACTAGTGAAAGGAGAAAAATTAAAAAAAAAAAAAATCACATTTACAGTTATGACTTCTACTATAGTAAGCTATATGATTTCACACACGAGATTCACCCAGCCTCGAGCAAAATATGGAGGAAAAAAGCCAGATGCATTTTGTACCAGGAACACCCCAAGAGGGGCACACATGGGTCTACAGAAATTTCCACCTCACTTGGGAATCCATGCATCCAGAAAAACACTTCAACCAAAGGGAAGGAACAATCAAAGAAATCAAATTCTTATCACATTTTCCTTTCTACCTTCCTAGATGTTAATGGATAGGAAGTTACTCAACGTGCCATCTCCTCTTCCACCTAAAAATCTGTCAGTAACAAAACCTGCCCTGTTCTCCTCTGCCCATTTTTCATGATGCACAAATCCAACAATGCAACTCACCTGCTCACACACACTACACTGTAAAATTTGTACTCCTTGCAGCCTGTTGAATCTCTTCCACACGCAGGTTGGGTTGGCCTGGAAGACCCTCATGCTTACTCTCACCTCAGTTACACACAGTAAAATATTTTCTCAAAAAAAAAGTACATTAGCTAGAAGGCTACCTTAACTGAGAGCATAGTTCAAAAGAGGAATCACTGTTTAAACTGTCTGGATTTTGTTTAATCTGTTTTAGGTGCAAATTCTGCTACCAGATGAAAATTCCAGGGTAGGTTTTTGAGGGGGAGTTCAGAACTCCCTCCCCCCCAACCACAGAATAAACCACACTGTCTCAAAACACCAGCAAGGGTTTCGATCACCTTCCAGACTGTCACAAGCAAAGCAAGCTACTGTCAAATTGCAACCAAAGACAAACCACAGAAACAACCTCTTTCCCACACTTCAGGCTCCCATACCCAAAAATCTTCTCTCAAGCAGCAGCTCCTCCCAACCAGCCCCCTGTGAGAGCATCAAGGCTCCTTCTCACCCCAAGTAAGGCAGGTGTGGTCCCCATCACCCCTCCCAGGTGATGGTGCTGCTCCTTCCCCACAGTTCTGAGCCTCCACCCAGCCCCTGCTGCATCTGGTGCCTTTGCTGGGACTGCCCCCAGAAGAAAGGTAGGAACACTCCAGCCAGAGCCCCCAGAAAGCATTTTCCAATTTCTCTGCAAGCCCAAATAAGGGTCTCATCTCCTGCCAGTGGAGTATGCCTCCCAGCTGGGAGTTACCATGCTGAACACTTTCTATCTGGCTCAGCTTTTCCTCTCTCTGCAGATCTCATCTCCAAATAGAAGAATGATTCTTTGCATTTTATTGGAAATAGTCCGAAGAAATTTGAAGACAGATAAGTTGTAAATTTTAACGGTTTGTCAATAAGTTATTAGTACTTGAAATGTTCAAAGTACAAACAAATGCAAATATATCTAATGATTTGCCTACTATATCCAGAATCTTATGGCAATAATGAAATTCATTCTACACAAACTCTCAGATCAAGCTACAAGGAGTAGTTTCTCCTCAGTAATTTTTACTCCTTGTAGTAAAAATTCCTCTCCATTTTCAGTGTTGATGAAATTAATAGTTTTCATGCAGATAAATGAAGTCCACCTCTATGTTCAATTTAGTTTTCCTAAGGAATGGCAAGTTCCTGAGAAGAATCTCAGCTAGAACAAAATCTTCACAGAAACAAAAAGGGATTGCTGTTTTGATTTTCTTTAAATAGAAATATAATATAACTAGGCTTCATTTCCAAGATGACACTAGATAGCCATTCTAAATATTTTCATCCACACAATCTATTTATTATTCTCTGTCTTCTCTTTCCACAAACAGCACAAGACTTTCCATTTCTGAGACTTCAAATTAAAGACTTTCATATGGTTATCTTCAGTCATGCAAAGTTCAAAAATAGTATAAATGCAGAACAATATTAAGACCGTAAATCTAAATGTACAGTAGTTGCATCCAGTACACAGCAAAAAGCTTACCCACAATAATCAAGAAAATTAAGGGTAGGTCTTTATTAAAACTCAGTCAGAACCAGGAAATTAGAACTGTATTGCTTTTTGTATCTCTGTTTACTACAGGAAAGGATCACAAGTGATTATTTGTTCAGATTTCTGTTCTGCTCTAAAGTAGGCCAGCCAGCTCAGCACTTTTCTTAAGATTATGAATACTTGTCTGCCCTACATATGGTTTAGGCTGAAACCAATCAGTTGAGCTGAAACACAGCAAAACTAACTATTTTCACGTCATTCATTTTCAGCTATAATGAAGAAGTGCACAGAACAGGTATAAAAGGATCAGATTTTAAATACTTTTAAAATTTTTTTTGCCATTAGCATCGTTCACTAAGGAGCTCACTGATTTCCTCACTATTGGATTAACACTTCATCTAGATTCAAAAATAATTTGTTGTTCATTTATAACTCTTTAACCACTTGTTTTCTCTGCTAGTTTCCAGTTTATTTTTTTGCATTGATTACCTCATTTAATAGGAAAACTGAGTGCTGAACTGCATCCAGTAGACTTTTCTATTACTAGGACATTCAGGATGGAAGCACACTTTGCAAGAAGCCTTACATCAAAATTTTAAAAAGATATGAAAAAAAATAATTTCTTGGATTTTTAACTGAAATACTTCTGTTTGCTCTTTCTCCCCCACACAAGCCATTCTTGAGAGTTTTGTTGTTATTTGGAGGAAAAGATGTTAAATCATAGAAGGTTGTTATACTGAGTTCAAAATAGAAAATAGTAACGTTTTCAAACAAACTGAGCTATTTGGAAGATCAGCACTGCAGAAAGTTCTTTGCTTAAATTGTTTTTAACTTATTTTTCTTAAAAGTTAGGTAGTCTCAATTTCTAGACCTGGTAAGCACTCATAGACTCTATGAAGTCATTACCTTCAATATATAATCTAATTATGAAAAAAAAATACCCCTTTCATATTTGAGTTTTCCTTTTCCATTTAAGATATAAATATTATCAAATCATTAGTAAGACATTTCTGTCACTCAAAACTCTTGCAGGCATCAGTAGCAAGGCAAAATACAAAAAAAAAAAAAAAAAAAGAAAAAGAAAAAGAAAAAAAGGCTCCAAAGCAAGTTTGTTTAAAACAAAGACAAGTATTTGTATTTAGTGTTCTGATGTATGAGACAGTATTTTTGCACCAGGGGGGAAGCATACCTTTCATCAGCTGCAGAACCTTGGTATCAGATGGTGATATAATCCAAATGGGTCTCAGCAGCATATTCCACAATATCCACAAGTTTCAGCATGGGGCTCTTCCACTTCCCCCAGGAGACCATTAACCATTACTATGAATCCAAAATACGCTAAGACATTAAGCAGCCGTATAGTCCAGTTAGAACCACAACAAGCAGCCCTGAAGAATCCCAAGCTGTATTCCACCATTTGAAGGGTAATGCAATATGGCACACATCACAGACTGATGTTCTGGCAACCATCCCATTTTCCCAGCAATCATGTTGTGACCTGTTCAAATATGAGGAAGCAGTGTTAGTTCAGCACAGTAACTCCGTCACACCACTCAGGAACTAACATACAAATATATAGTTACATTCTTCTGGGTAATTTCAAACACAAATTTCTTCACAGATTTAGACACATCCTAAACTCAAAGCCTGCTGATGGCATTTTGTTTTAAAAACATTGTGGGGCTGGAGTGTAACAGAAGAAGGTTTAAGAAAAAGGCTTTCATATATATCTACAGATTGCACAGTCTTACTCCTAGAAAGCACTGAAGTGACAGAGAAAAAAGGTAATATAAAGGATCTTCAACTGCCCTGGCAGGTGTTTAAAAGCTAATGAAAACAGTTAGTCAATAAAAAAAAAAAACCTAAGTAGAAAAAATAAAACTTATCAACCCTTTTGAGGGAAATGTATGCAGATCTTCTCTGCCTCCTTAGCCCTGTTGCAGTGTCTCCCCACAGCACCTCCACCAGCAGATGTGCTACTTCAGCTGGGACCTAAACTTTGAGCACTGCTGATGGCATTTGGCCCTGGAAGAAGCCAAAGTAGCCCAACCCACATCAGTCTACTCTGGTAGTCCCTCTGTGTAATTCCTTCAGAGGTGCAAAGAGCAGATTTGACTTAGGTTGGGAAGGGGACTATGGAGAATGGAGAGAAAAGTCTGAGTGTTCTGCACAGGAGGGAACAATGACATGAAGAACAGTGTCGGGTCTGCGAAAATGGAGTGAGGGAAAGGGAAAAAAACAAACTTCCACACTAAGAACAATGGAGAGGAACTAGAAGAAGCTTTTAGAGACTGGAAGATGCATGTACACAGAGACAAAGGTGAGAAGAAAGGAGAAAGTGAACACTGGTGAACAAGTATAGAACAAGCTAGAAGCTCTGTCTGCAGAACTGGGTAACATGGATGTAGAGCAGTCCACAGAAGAATAAGTTTAGGAGAGAACAAGAAGAAGCTTTATGTTTGCTTCACATCAGGAGAAATGAGCATTTCTAAGCATGGAAGAAAAGAAGGATCCTGGCAAAAGGAATTTTTCATGAGAAATACAAGCATAAAGGTAGAAGAGTAGATGGAAAGAGACTAAGGAGGAAGAGAATGAATAACAATAAAAAGTAAAAAGTAGACTTCAGAAATTCTGAAATGGGTAGATCTAAGGAGAGAGGGGGACAATTAGGAAATTGGAACAAGAAAACACAAGAAAGTAGAGTATTGGGATGAAAAAAGATAAAAATGGAAGATTATTACATAGCACAGAAAAAGAAGATGGGGAAATAATAAGATACTAAATTGATCTAGATAATTAAGAAAAGTACAAAGAGCTCACAAGTAAGTTTTGTGGAGTTGCGATGCTTGCTCTAGAAAGCGTGAAGCAAAAGGAATGGAACAAAACCCAAGGCAACTCTCGCGTTTCCAAAGGGACGAAGGGAATTGCACTGAAGCCCAGACGAGGAAGGGCCAGCCTGGACTGACCCTTTTCACTCTCCCAATGCAGTCGGAAGAACAAAGTCCTCCCTCTGGTCCGTCTCTCTTCTCCAAAAATTGTCCCTCGGCACTTCTGTGCACCTTGGCTCTCTGGGATGGTCCCAGAGCCGCAATGTGTTACCCTCTGGGGTGTCTCGGGCCCCGCGACCCAAGCTGGCACACGGAGGAGCACCCACCTTGCCCCTGCTGCGCGCTGCCCTGCCCAGCCCAGTCCCCCCACTCCCCGGCCAGGGCCGCCAGGACTCCCTACAATCCCGTCAAGTTTTCCCCGTCTTCAGCTTTTCTCTGTCCCAACACTTAAAAACACAGCCCGATCCAGAAAGCCCTCCTAGTCCACTTCCCTCCCCACCAAAAAAAAAAAAAAAAAAAAAAAAAAAAGGAAGGGAAGGGGAAAAAAAAGTTAAACCTCTAAAATAAAACAAAGCAGGCACAAGAAGGAGGCAAGGCCTCCCGTCCGACTGGTGCCCCCAGCCCGCATTAAGGGAATTCGGGCGGAATGACTGTCTTACCCTCCCCAAAAATACCTGCATGTGCTCCCAAAAGTACAAAGGAAAGGCTGGGCTGGCCCGCAGACGCCTCCGCTGCGCTCCCAGACCCGAGCGCGGATGGCAGGGCGGAGGGGGGAGCGACGAGGGAGCAGGGAAAGAACAATAAACCCCAAGTCCAAACGTACCTTCTCCTTTCTCTAAACTGTGAAACCAGATTTCCTTAGAAGCCTACGGCGGGGCTCTTTGCTTTTAAGCGGCGGGAGAGCTCCAAGAAAGTTGAGCAAATCTCTTCCGATAAAGTTGCCGAAGATGAGTTAACCCGGGAGAGGCGAGGAAGAGATGGAGAGTTCATCCGAGTTTCTCCTTTTGTTCAAGTTGCCCGAGCAGACAAAGAGCCGGCAGCGGCGGCAGGTCCCCCGCGCCCCTGCTCCCCCCGCGGTCCAGGCGCCGCCGGGGTCCCGTACTGCCCTCGCCCCCCGCCTCCTCCCACCACCGCAACTTTCCGTCTGCTCCATCCCTCCTCAGCCCCGACCCCGGCTCCGGCGCAAAACTTCCCTCGAACTGAACCTCCCAGAAAAAGAAAACAATTTAATTCAAGGCGGGGGAGTGGGGGGTGGAAAGGGAGAGAACCATCTCTCAAATCATTATTTCCGGTAGATGCACCTCTTTGTTTGGATTCCCCCGACTGTCAGTGAGGACAAGCCTCTGGGGATATGCTTTCGGACAGTTTGATCTGCCGGAATGAGACGGGCAAACGCAGGACATAAAGAAAAATAACTTTAAAAGAAAGAAAAGGGGGGGTAAAAAGTAAATAGAAAACAATATAAAACTCCGGAGTTGCGAAACGAACCCGTTTTTCATGGACACGGGAAGTACATAAATAAACAACTGAAGGGGAATTTCGGAGAACTGTTGGTTCTCCTCCCCCTCCCCTTCGCACTTTTCCAGAGAATGTAACAAAAAAAGCCCCCCGAAACCTCCTGGCCGAGGCTCCGTGCCGCCGCCGCCAGCTCCTGGCATCCCTACCTGTTGCGTAAAGCGCCAAGATAGGGCCGACCGCATCCGTCCCAAAGAAACCCAAAGGGAAGGAGTGGACCTCCCGCACCCCACGGCCCCTCCACCTGCCCTCCGGCAGCCCCCACGGGGACACGGGCACGGGCGTCGCTGGCAGCCCCGGCGCGTCCCCGGCGGACGGCGCGGCTGCCCCGCGCCCTGCCCGGGCCCGCTGCGGGGCGGCCGTCGGGGCGCCCCGCTCCCCGCCGAAAGTTTGGCGGGGCGGGGCCGGGGGGCGCCGCGGCCTCGCACCGAGACAAAAGGAGCGCGGAGCAGCGCTGCAACTCACCTTGGGAGTGAGAGAGGGAGAGAGTGAGGCTGAAGAGACACCTTCCGCCTCAGTCCTCCTCCTCCTCCTTCCCACCCCCCGGCCCTGGGGGACAGGCTCATGCTGGGGACCGGGGCGCGATCACCCGGCTCAGCCCCGCCGACGGTCCGCTCCCCGGCGCTGAACAAAAGCGGGGGGGAGCTGCCCTGCCGCCCCCGCCCCCCCTGCCCCTGCTGTCCCTAACTTTTTGGTGCACACCTAGCATCCCAGCGGGCCGGCCCGGCGCTCGGGAAGGACGGGAGAGAGCGACGGCGCGCCCGGATCGGGATCTCCACGTCGGGGCAGCGGGCCCGGGGCTGCCGGCAGGGCGGGAGCGCTGCCGGGAGGTGTCGCCGGGTGGGGGGGCCACGACGCGGACCCGCTGCTCATTGTCTGTCCGAGGGTGTGCCCGTGGCAGGGCGGCGTGGAGGGTGCGTGGGCGTCCGCAGCACGCGTGGGGGTCTTGTGAGTTTGTTCACTCCCTGTGCGCAGTGGACATGGGTGCCAGAGGCTCCAGCCCTCAGGACCTTGCCTACCAGGCCTGAAAGATGTCCCCAGTGCGGTTTACTTTGTTTTCTTTTCTCTTTTTGGTTTGTTTGGTTTTGTGTTGATTTGGTTGGGTTTTTTTCGTTTTGTTTTGGGTTTTTTGCCTTAGAAACAGGCAAAATCTTGGAAAAGTTACTAGGAAATGGTAGTCAATAGCAGCCCATACCCAGTATGGTAGGGCTAGTTTTTCAAAGTCAGATAACAGGGGATGATCTTGAGATGTGGGGTTTTTTTCAGAAGGGAGAAGAGAATGGAAGGGCACACTATTTAGCCTTTGGTTAAGTTGTCCTGTTGACAGCTTCTACAGTCCCTGCTCACGGATGACTCTTCCTATTTTCCTTCAGTTCATGTTCATTTCATGCCAACAACCCCCAACTTTTCCTTCTTCCAGCTCCTTTCCCCCTCCCAATCTTCCCTAGCTTTGAGACTCATTCAAACCGTTTCCTCCTACCCAATGATGTCAGCCTCAAAATTTTGTTTTTTAAAACATTTTGCAACTCCCCACCCAGGATCAGCCTTTTTATCCTCATGCCCCAGAGAAACTGCCCCCAGCTCTTCCATCGCTGCTTGTGAATCATGTTGCTCTCGAGCACTGTCTACCTACATTCTGCTGCAATGTACATTGCTGTTGGTTTTCATTACAGATTTCTGTGGTGAAATGATAATACATATAGTGTAATACCTGGCATGAGAAGCTGAAGCATCCTTGTAGTCATTCTTTACCATTCACCTTCTTCAGCTCTTCTGCACTGAGTGCTCTGGAGCAACTATCATAACACTTATAAAATTTCCTCCTGAATTATTTTCTATGCACTGTTTCTCCCTTCCATCCATTTCTGACTTTTCACAGGTTTTTATTCTCTCCATCTACACTATTTCCATGGTTGTTTTGTCCATGTTTCTCTTTCCACCTCTGCACTTTTTTTTCCTTAATATTTTGGTTTTATGGTGGAAGAGGAATGTTGACTGCACCTTTTCTTACTTCCACCCCTATTTCTCTAGTTTTCACATACACTCTTTTAGCAGGGCACAGTGAAGCCCAGCAAACACGTACTCTTCTGCTAACACATATTTTTTTTTTTTTTTTGCTGTGTTTCTTTTTCAGATGATTCCCAAATCCAGTGGAGCACTGTCCTGTTGTTTGCTCGTTGTGCATTGTGGTGCAACCAGCAAACACCCTACAAAGGGCTACTCTTGGTGGCTTTTTCTGGAAAAACACAAATTCTACAAGTAGCTCCTTGTGTCATGGGATTTTGGCTTTGGCAGACATCAATGGTATGTTGCATAAAGGTATAACTTGCTGAGAATTTGTGAAGATGTTGAATTACCCCATGGTCTGCCAGCTGAGTTGGAGTTTGTGGGCCAGGTAAATACGATCAACCGTGCAGCCTTCTTTCCTTCCCTTGGAAGAAGGAGGCCAAAAGCAGGAGACATAATAATATACATTGTAACTCTCTGGTACTGGTGCTATTTAAACAAAACATGTGTCTACCTTATTACTTCATTATGAGTGATAAAGGTTACTAATCACTGGATCAGACATCACCAGTTGCCTAGGATCCGATAATCATGGATCACATTCAATACACATAAAGAGAGGAGGGTCACCATTGAAAATATCTTGTGAAGAGCTAACTGAGCAAGGATGAGAAAAATAGAAAAATTGTTTGAAAGGACAAAAATGTCAGAAACATTTCAATAAAAGCTTTTGTGTCTTATAGAAGGGCTCATTTGATGGGTAAGTGGCCATCTGCCATTGAGACAGTAAAATTTTTTTGAAATTCCCTCGTGGTTCATTGGGCAGGTAAAGAGAAGCATTAAGCAGTAAAAAGGAATACATAAGAGGCAATAAAAAAAGGAGCAGTTTATGATAATTAACATGAAGTAGAAATTATATAATGTAGAACATTATTTGGAAAAGTCAAAAACTTTACATAAAAATCCACATCTTGAATGGATGAAATGAAAATAATTTTACACTAAGTGGGGAATGAAGCATCTTCTAATAATGTTCATAGGCCTTTCAGTTCTAATTATGAGACAAAAAAATTATACTAATGATACCTGTGTTCTGCAACTGGGAAGATAAATATTGTACACAGAAAATAACCCATTTTTTGGTCTTTGGGCAGCACCTATCTCCAATAAACATTGAATCCTGAGCCCCAGATGCCTTGCACCCTAACATCAGAAAGCCCTTGGCACATTATGTCACAGCGATGTCAGTTTAATAAATCCTGGAATGCCATGGGAATTATGGGAATTATGGAAACATATTGCCAACATTGTGCCAATATGAAAAAGGGGCAAACAGAAAGACACAAGATTACAATACTCCATTTTGCCTAACATTCGCCCCTTAAAAAATAGTGGAAAGCCTGACACAGGACTACACTCAAGGAGAACTAAGGATAAGAATAATCATTCTAAAGCACTGTTCCTTTATCTTTAATTCCTTTTTTGTATTTAAATTTCACAGTGGATATAGAGTGGGTTGGAATACAGATCTAGTGACAGCTCCACATGCTGACTGATCTGGCTTGAAGAAAGTCACAACAGTGAAGAAATTTCCCATGGAGTGCCAATATTTAAACATTTCCAAATGGCAGTGACCTAGTCTCATCTGGCTCCCAAATAATAGAAGCAATTAGCCTATACTATCTGTGTTTAGTTGCTAAATCCCTGATTCCCACACGCACAGCCACATTTTTCTTAATCCTTTCTGATTTTTCTGAGCTATCTGGTTTCTTTCTGTCTCTGTATGACTTTTACTCTGCTTCCCAAGTCTCCTCAAGGAAAGGTTTAACCAAAATTAACTCTAGACACAATTTCAGGACTTTTAAGATCACAAAAGTTCATCAAATCATCATATAAAAGGTCAAACTTTTTTCCTTGGCAAACTAGACAGAAAACATAATCCAATTTATCTTGTATTTATCCTGGTTGCCCATATTCCAGAAAAGTGTTCCATTTTGCTGAAACATTGTTGGACACACAGTCAACCACTTCTCTTAAGAACAAAGCCAGCTATAATCCTAGCTGTTAAAAAAAGAAAACAACAAAACAAAAACAACAAGGGCTGGACCTCATTTTAAATCAAAATTTGTTTGGCTTTAGTTCTAGTTACTTTTTAAATTTATTTTATGTCTCTCCACCACATTAAATTAGTGTACAGCTAATTTTATAAATGGGGGCCTGAAAGCAGGACTGGCTGCACAGGACAGGAAACCTTCCTGCAGAGATAATGTACTTACAGGATTGTTTTAATCTCTTTGAGGGATTACTTACATTAACTTGCTGAGGTTCCATTACATTTACCAAGAAAACATGCAGTTGCTTGAAGTTTGCCAGCTGAATGGGCTTCTGGGGCTGTAACTCTCATTCAACACTTGGTTGCCAAACTAAGGGCAGTGGCCATTTAGAAGCACACATCAGTGCCACAATAGTGATGTGAAGACTGGAATTCCCCAAGCCCTGTATTTTGTGTAGCTCCTGTAAGCACCTACCATGCAGATCAAAATGAGGAGCAGCCCAGCCTGCAGCAGGGAGCTGGGTGCTGATTATATCTCACTCTCATTACCACAGAGCGCCCCAGAAGGGGAGGGTTGGTTTAAGTTCTTTCTAT